TCCGATTTGCTCAACAGTAAAGTAAAACAACTTACCAAACCCTCTTTAGTCTTCCCACTAGTCAAAATGAGCAGCTAAATACACAAAGCTGGGCTGGCAGAGTGGCTCAAGTGGTAGAGCACCTGCTTAGCAAGCACTAGGCCCTGAGTTCAAACCCCAGTACCACCAAAATAATAATAATAATAATAAACTAAGCAAAACTTTGCCCAGTGGAAACTGATGCTAATGGGCCAATTCAAAGCAGTTCTGGATCATTACCCAACCTCTACCGTTCTCTCCTCATTTTACAGTTGAGTGGACTGAGGCCTAGAGAGAAGGATGCTGACTTCACTCAAGAGACAGGCAGGGCTTGAAGGGAGGTGTATTGGACCCTTACAGTTACTGGTGAATCACCTGGCCTTGTGCCTATCCTCCAGGGAGGTGCTGCTCTCCCAAGAACTGGAGCTCGCTGGGGGGAGATTTGCCCTTCACTCATGAACATTAATAGAGCTGCCTTCCTTCCAGAACTGCCTTCCTGCAGAGCAACCCCTGGGAAATGGCAAAGCGTCCATCCCACAGGACTCATTTTTGGGAGGGCACCCATGCTGTTCTGGTGACAAGGCAGATGGAGTGACTCAGGGAGACAGGAGGGAGTGAGGGGGTGGGGGCAGAGAAAAAAAATACTGTTACCAGCTGGTATTGGAAGAAAGAAAGAGAGAGAGGGGGAGAGAGAGGGAGAGAGAGAGAGAGAGAGAGAGAATATCCCTATCTAAATCTCACATTCATTCAATGAAACCCTTCATGAACAAAGTAAGCTGGGCCAGAAGCAGAACAGGAGATGGTAGGGTGTCCCTGGCAATGGGAAGGTAGTAATGGTGGCAGAGGACAAAGCAGGAGTACCTACTGGGGATGAGAGGAAAGCTACAGGGCTAGAGCTTCCACAGACCAGTCCGTAATGTGGCTGTTGCAAAAGCAATGCAATCAGAGAGGTACCACCTAGGACACTCCCAACTGATCAGAAGAACTGTATGCATAGCCCGGCACCAGTGGCTCATGCCTGTAATCCTAGCTACTTTGGAGGCTGAGATCGGGAAGATTGAGGTTCAAGGCCAGCCCAGGCAAATAGCTTGTGAAACCCTATCTCCAAAATAAACAAGCAAAATGGACTGGAGGTGTGGCTCAAGTGGTAGAGTGCCTGTTTTGCAAGCATGAAGCCCTGAATTCAAACCACAGTCCTACCAAAAAAAATAATTGTATTGTGGCCCTGACTCCTTCCAAATCCAAAGACCACACACCAAAGAAACTACTATTGCTAGAACTCATGTTGTTGAGAAACTTCCTAGTCACATTAGTGACACTCTCTAGAAATGAGGATTATTACATATGTTCTAGGAAGCTTTTACTGTAATAAAATAAGATATATTTGGTTCACAAAAAAGAAATACAAATGCACTATACAGGAGTAAGAGGATATTCACATTCATTAGGAATCATGAAATACAATTTGCAGCAAAAATTAAATACCATCTCCGTCCATCAGTTTAGCAAACACTAAAGACAGGTTATATACAATACTGCTAAGGATATGAAGAAGAAGACACTGTCTACACTGTTGATTGTTGATTGGAGTGTAATTTGGTGTAGCATTTTTATAGGTGACTTTGACATTATCTGTTAAAATTTGACACAGTAACTCCATTTCTATGATGAAGTATGCTTCAAGAATAATCACAAATGTGTTCAAATTATTATGTGCTTATGCAACATAACTCACTGGGATTTATCCCAGGAATGCAAGATTGATTTAACATGTGAAAATCACCTATATAATCAAATCAATATAACATCTGTGTAAGTAAGGAACAAACTCAATGGTCATCTTAACAGAAGCAGAAAAAGCATTTTGGCAAAACCCAGTACACTTTCATGATTAAAAACCTAACAAACAAAAAACACTCAACAAACTAGAATATAAAGAACTTCCTCGACCCAATAAAGGGCATCTATGAAAATTCCACAGCTAACATCATAGTTAATGGTGAAAGAGCCAAAGCTCTCCTCTTTAAGGTCAGAAACAAGCCAAAGGATGTTGTTCTCACCACTTCTAGTCAACCTCGTACTGGAGGATCTAACCAGACAAATTAGGGAGAAAAATGACACAAAAGTCCAGATTTGAAGGACTAGGGCATGATTAAAGTGGTAGAGCACCTGCTGAGCAAGCATGAGGCTTCAAGCTCAATCTTGAGTAGCACCAAAAAAAAAAAAAAAGTTGTTCAGATTCCAAAGGAAGAAGTATCTCTATTTATAGATGACATAATCTTGTGTAAGAAAACCATAAGGGATCCACCAAGAAACTATTAGAACAAATGAACAAGTGTGGCAAAGTTGGATACAAGATAAATACTTAAAAATTGTATTTCTATACACTGGCAAGCAGCAATCAAAATTAAAAATTAAGAAAATTCTAGCTGGGCACTAACGCCTATAGCTACTCAGGAGGCAGAGATCAGGAGGATCTCGATTTGAAGCCAGCCCATGCAAATAGTTCAGGAGACCATATCTCAAAAATACTCAACACAAAAAACAGGACTGGCAGAGTGGCTCCGACTTCCTGTTCTGCCCTCCTGTTCTCCAATTTTGCAGAAAGAAAGAGAGGAGAGGAGAGGAGAAGAAAAGAAAACATGACATTTTTGTTTGTTTAAGATAGCTACACAGAGAGTTTCCTTGTGAAATTTGCTTTTCATATATTTAGAGTGCACAAGAATCCATTAGGCATGTACTATGTCAGGCATTGTGCTAGGCACTTTGAACCTGAGAGACACTCTCTCTAGTGACATTTGCAAATACGTTTATGTATGCTTCCTACATACCGAGAAGCATGAGACTGGGTGGTCAACACACTTGTCTGCTTGGTGCCCCCCAGTTCAGCTTTCAGTCTCACTCCTTAGGTAGTGATTTTATGAGTTTTCACTCAGGGTTCTAGGATTGTCTCCATATGACTCCTGTCTATCCCTTTCAGTCATAATTTTGCACACATGAGTATAAAGAAGACCTGGTTATAATAACAGTGAACAGCTAGTGTGTATGCTTGTATGCATGACATGAGTGCATCAGATGCATTATCTCATTTGATCCTTACTGCAGTCTTCTGCAGTAGGTACTGTTAATGTCTCCATCCTACACGGCGCATAGAGATGCCAAGTATCTTTTCCCAGAGCCACAGTCAGTAACTGAGCAAGCTAAGACTCTAACTTACACTTATCAAACTAGAGAAGGCATGTGAATAACTACAATGCCAGACACTGCCTTATTCCAATGTTCATATTATGTTTAGGTCAGCCTGAATCAACAAAAAGAGATAAAAATATCAAAAAGATAAAAATTAACAAAAAGCTATAAAAAAATATTCCTTTTGAGAAGACAGAAAGTCACGATACACTTTTTAGTAAGCATTCTATCCAAAGTGGATAAAAATAGTTGAAGCTTAGAGGAGTAAGTATTAGTTGTCAGAAAAATCCTCAACAATGCCACAGACCCAGGTGCTGTTTCTGTGTCATCTAGTATTCTTAGAACTGCAAAGCTCAGTATACCTTCTGGCAGCTTCTGAGCACAGAAATCACTGGCAACTTCATGTGTTTATTTAAAAAATTAAAAAAGAAAACACCACAATCTGTTCTACAGTAGACATCATTCTAGAAATGATATCAAATGTTCAGAAGCCACGTCTACTTCAAAAGCTAAAGGGTGGGGGAAGGGAGCCCTTAAATTGGGCAATAGAGAAAACTGAAGATATTCTGAGATAGGTGCAGCTTGACACTAGGGCTAGCATTAAGAAAAATTGTGAAGGAAGCAGAGTTTATCTGAGGCAAAGCTACTGGTACTGCTAACATTAATAGTAGTAATATTAATAATTACCACTTAAAGAATACTTTCTATTTTCCAGGCACTCTTCTGGGGGCTTTATGTATATGAATTAATTGGCATTTCATGCCTATGAATCCTATAAGATAGGTGTCACATCCTATTTTACAGGCGGGGAGACCAAGGCCTAGAGGTATATTAAGTTATATGGCCAAAGTCACAAAGCCACTAGAGAAGTCATATTTAAACTCAAGAAGTCTAGTGTCAGAGTCCATGCTCAAAGGACTGCTACTTGTACACAGACAAAACTACTAATGCTTGTCTTCTAATACAGGGTACTTCTGACCCTGGCCCTGTGCTGAGGATGCTACAAAAATTATCCCATAGATCTTATGAGGTTGACCCTCTTAGTTCTACATTATTCTATAGTATCTCATTTGATCCTTTAAAACCCCATGATGTAGCTGTTATTGTGTCCACTTTACAGATATGAACTCTGAGCAGGAGCTAGATTCCCTCCATAGCACCACAAAAAAAACCCACAAAACACACACACACACACACACACACACACACACACACACACACACACACAGAGGCACACAGAAAGTAAGCATCTCAACTCATAGGCAGAAATATCACATCCTCTCAGTAATACTGATTATACCCACTGTAGGGATCCACATAATATAAATAATACAACATAGCTTAATACACAATTTCTACCTCAAGACCATGTTCTCTCAGCTTTTCAAGGCCTCTGTTCTGAGATATTAGTGGGAAAGAGTAGCAATGGCCTTTCTGCTCTTTCCAACTCAGGGGGATCACAGAGACGCTGTGTATAGCCAGTAGCTCACTTTTGGTTCCCACAAAAGTTTTGTTACCTGAAGCCTGTTTGCAGGGCTTGGAGGCTGTATTTAAAAGGTATCATTTTGAGTATTGATTTTATTTTGTTTAGTTTAGAACTGGTTTCTAGAAAAGACAGGCATTAGCAATCGACCACTGAAGACCATCAATCTCAACTCTGGTTTCTCTGAAGTGCTACCTCTGTTTTACTCAGTTGCCATTGGAGATGAAAATCAATCAAGTACTTTTACGACCAGTCTTTATTAGCAGAGCAAAAACTAATGACAAGAAGGAGGGCTGTTGAGTAGGCTTACCTCCACTTGAAGGGTTGCACATCCTTTCAGGAAGTCGCTGATGTTGCTGATGCAGTGGGCTTCGGTTTGGGGCTCCAGACAATACTAGAGAAACATAGCCAAATGTCACTTGAAGATGGCTGTCCCATGCCAAACAAACTATAGTCATTTGCAGGCGGGCTTTTTTCAAGTAGAGGGAACCACTGCTGCCAATCCAGGAAGAGAAATAACCACTGAAGGAAGTGATGCAAACGTCTAAACGGTTGGTTTTTGTTTCAAATGTCACCAAACCATTTCTACTTACAAATGTGTTCTCATGCCTTCAGCCCAAGAGTGGAAATGGCAAATTAGACAGACCAAGACAGATTTTTCTTTTTTGTTAGAACCTTACTTTGAAACAAGAAAGCACTCCCTGTAATAATTTATTGACATTATATTTCACTTCGGCTGTTGTCTACCTTTGATCACATTCTCTACATCTTATTACCGTTTCATCACCAGTTTCTTGAGTTTAAGAAATTATATATAAAGCTATTTGATCAATAAAAATTGGTCCAAGAATACAAAAGATCTATACACACAGTCGCATTCCCTGATGAATTTAAAGAAATAATTGTAGGACTCTACATTTAAGTTTACTTAAAGTGCTTACTTTAGAAATTACCCATTGTTGTCATGATCATGGGCTTCCAATATCAAAAATCTTGGACTTTTTCTGAGATTAAGGTTAGTTTCACTTTGAACACACGTTGCATTCAACATATATATTTGGTGCCTCCTGTTTTTACAAACCATATATGACATTTTGGATTATTTCTCCTGGTAACTAAATGATTCTTTCTTAGAGGGACTATTATTTTTTTTGAAAAGGAAGTCTACATTGATTTTTTAGGCAAACTGTCAATAAACACCATCAAGATCTATTATAAATCATTCCATCATTCACAGACTTATATGTACCCCAAGTTCAAAACATGTCGGCAGCACACAAGGAAGTGCAACATGCATCTCCATGACAGAGCAAACTTGTGAGATGGGTGTTCTCCTGTCCCCTGCTGCCAATGGTGGAACAGGTTTTTGCTATACTAACACTTGAGAGCCAAGTGTTAGTATAACGTTTCCTTTTCTGACTTTTTCAAACTGCAAACACAGTAAGAAAGAATATCTAACTCTGAGAATGATATTAATAGAGGAGATTGCCATGTGCTCAGCAACAGAAAAATGTCCAGTTATTTTGTTGCTGCTCTCTGGTGGTCAGCAATCCCAAAGATTCTGTGACTTGACCTTACCTTTCCCACGGAGCCAGGGACAAGTCTGTTGATCAGTTTGCACAGCACTACCCCATTTTTCAGCGAGGACTTCAAAAACTCCTCCGGATCACAGATGGTCTTTTTGGGGGAATCTAAAACTCCCAAAGATATAAGCCATGTCACGATTCGCTCTTCTGGATTCATTGCTGAAACTAGTATACTCAGAACAGCTCTCTGGGGCAGCTGCAGGGACTAAGCCACATCCGTGATTGCATCTGCTGCTCTCTTCCTTTTTATGAGTTCTCTTCTGGTGCTTACAGAGCAAAGGTTTAAAACAACTTTTCTTAGACAACAGTGGAACTCACTCAAAACGTGGGACTTTTAAACCACTGAGATCTCAAAGATGGGGAAACATAATAATTAATGTAAAAACCCCAAATAACACTGGTTTTCTTTTTCAAAATCTGCCAAACAAATTAATTAGGATTAAAAAAAAAAGGAAGAGCACACACACAGAGCCCCCAAACCCTCAACATACAAGAAGCTGTAAGGAAAGGAAGCGAGGAGGATGATGGGAAGGGAGAAGAGAAAAGGAAGCAAATGCTTGTAGAACACAGAGGTGAACCAACACTCCTGGGAACCTTGGAAATGAGACACTCAAGGGCCAGTCTGGGAAAAGGCTGTCAATATAGTCTAGCCCCAGTGAAATCTGGCTTCTGTTAGGAGGAAGATGTCAGCTCTCTGTTAGGTCAGACAGATCTGAGCCTCCATGGGAAGCTGTGCTGGCAAAACAGAGCTCAGAGAGTTAGGTAAGCTGAGAAAATTCCAGCAAGAAATGGCCGGATGTCCTCAGACTATCTCACAGAGACATGTGTGTCATGATTGTTTCTTGTAGAACACATGAACTTGGATAGTAACGATGTGCCAAGCAATTGAAGATTGTGCCTGCTGTCAGCCATCACTGTGTATAAGCAGAAGCTAGAAGAATGGCATTTTACTTTGCAGCCAAAAAGCTATGTTTAGGGAAATAGGCTAAGGATAACATCTGACATCCTGTTTACTTGCATTCTTTAGCAATTCTTTTTCTGGACCTGGTTTCACTACACAATCCTGCTGCAGTACCCTTAGCAAAGGCTCAGACACACTCACATAAAGTGGGTAAAATACACTTGGAAACACAATGTTTGAAAACAAAAGAGCACTTGTCCTCTGTCTATACTACAGACTGGAAGGTTCATGTTTCCCAACAAGAAATACTTTCAATTAAAATGCTGCTCTGAAAAAAAATCTAGAATAAAATAAGAAATTTCTATTACTCTCAAACATTTTCAGAACCAGTTAAAATGGTCATGTTATTGGGACATTTATAATAATCCAACTGTAATAGCATAGTCCTATGTAGGCAATTGCATAGTGCTTACCATCGCTACCCTTCCTCATTATGGGGGACATCAATCATGGCTCTTTCCTGCTAAGCCTCAGAATCTTTTTAACACAGTTTCAAGCATCTCCTGCCAAATGATGAGCTTAGATAATCCCACTAAACATTTGCGACACAGCCCCTTCTTGCTTTGTCCTAACACTTATCACACTTCTCTACTCCTACCCATGGATCTGTCTCCTCTGACACAGTGCAAGCTTCCTAGAGTCAGAGTCTTGTTTGTCTTGTTTGCCACTGCACATCCAGCAGAGTGCCTGCTGCACACCATAGATGTTCAGAAGTGCTGAGTGAAGGAACGGATGTACTTAGATGATGTCTGTGATAAAGATGCTACCTGATTACAACAAGGACTTATTGCTTGTTTTAATAGCATAAAACCTTTTCCTTGTAAATGACTTTATTGAGATGTAGTTGATACATAATAAACCGTACACACTTAAGGTGCATGATTTAATAGATTTGACATATGTACATGCTTTTGATACAATCACAAACACACACACACACAATCCAGATAAACTATTTCATCACTCTCAAAAATGTGTATGTGCCCTTTCACCTCCTTCTTCTCTTCCTTTACCCCCACATCACAAGCAACTAGCAATCTTATTTTATTTCCTTTCAATTAGTTTGTATTTTCAAGCATCCTTGCAGAAATGGAAGGATACAAAATGGTATTTGCTTTACATGGTCTCTCAACTCAACCATATTGTGACATTCATCCATGTTGTTGTATTTATCCATAGTTCTACAATAAGGATTTGACCTCCATAAGTTTGGTTTGACGTACTTATAAGCAAAATAAATACAGTTAACCAAAACTTTTAAGTGACTTTGACCCATGGCCAAATCTATGTAATGGAAATAAAAACAGAAACCATTCGTTGATAAATTAAATTCCAAAATATGGCCCACTTAAATACATTTTTATGTATCATTTGGACAGTCTCCACAATTGCTCATCGAAATTTTAGTCTACAGACAAACAAAATCTGGCAGCATTATTGAGGTATAACTTGCGTTTTCTGATGAAGAACAAAGCCTGAGCAATTTCAGGAACCCAGCCTAGTCCAAAATAGACTTCAGTCCACTGACGTCATCTGGATGAACATTTGTCTTGTTTTGGACACTGGTTATAGCAAATTAGTGTAAATAATAAAATCAGAAGAGCAAAGCCACCACCTCAAGACCAAAGAAATAGCTGTATTAATATGAAGATTGGAAGTTACATTTGGTATGGTGTAATGTCAAGAAGCTGAGGAAATCCAGGGAGGTGGCAAACAACAAGGTACAGGTGACCCAACATGGAACCCAGGTTGGCTTGGGAAGCATGTGACGGCAGAGAGGAGCCAATGAACTGGGTGAGTAAGGTGGGAGAAACACTGAAACACAAAGAGTGCTTTCATACAAGGGCATGAATAAAAAGAGCAAAAAGTCCCCCACAGCCTTGGAACCACTGAACCTGCCTCCTTAAGGGCTTGCCCACCTCCTGCTATCATCCTAATCAACTCTCTAGCAAGGCACAGTTTGGTCGATTTTCCAAAAACATCTCTAGTGTTAAAATCCTTGCTCAAAACCCCTTGAAAGCTCTGTTACCTAAAGCTGATTGACAAACAAGAATGCTTGTAATGATCACCTCCTGGGAGCAAAAAAGAAGAAAGGAATGAGAGAGTGGAATTAAGAGCTAAAATAGATAACATTTTATTTCAAAGAAAAAATCTGCAGGAAATAAGACAAATGCGAACATTTGTTAAACCTAGATACCTGGGTACACTGGGACCTGTTAGACTATGTTCTTTACTTTTGTGTGTTTGAAATGTTTATAATTGATTCATATTTTAAATTTTCAAATATTCCGGGGCACTTGGTAAAAAATAAGATTTGGGGGCTTCATTTCCAAATACTCTAGTTCAGAAGCTCTTCTGTGGGGCAAAAGAGTCAGTACTAAAATTCCCCAAGTTGATTCTGCTACAGAAACACCAAGGTCACATTTGAAGAAACCAGTTGGTTTCTAGCCTTCTTCTCCATCCAGTTTCTGCCACTACCTAGTTCATTTGAATATCCACAGAACAACCATTCATCATCACATCCACTCAGTTCTCTGGCCTCCTCTGCCTGCAGCTGACACATCACTGGTCACCTGACCTCTCAGGTCACCTTTATGCTTGTTCTGTGAAAATGAACCTAGGACTTTGAAATAGTTTTTTAACTTTTTCAGCTGGCACAATATTAAGTTACATCAATATGCAATAGTGGAACGACATTGTAGGAAGAAGAGGTTTTACTTCCTGTTTCTTGTGTGCTCACTCCACAGGCTCTTGCTGGAGCTCCAAGCTTTCCCCGTGCCCACCTTCTGCAGCTATGGCTTTCTCTATGTGCAGTGGGCAACAGCTTCCTCTGGCACTACCCTTGGGTAACTCTATAGAAAGTGTCTCTGTTAAGACACCTCCTGTGTCAAGTAGCACATCAGAGGAGCACATTTTCAGCAAGTTCCAGAGGGAAGATGTCCAGCAAGTTCCACTGACCCTGCACCATGCACCTTCTCTAAAAAGGCCTGGATCTCAGCCCTGGATCAAGAGTAGGGTTGTCACAGTTCTAGGGCTATAGGATATTACACATTATTTCTATATTGTCTGCTATTCTATATTACATCTGTTATTTTTGTACTCTTTTAGAGTTCCCTTCACTTCTGACTAGCCAATCCCTCCACCCTCCAATCTGTTGTTATCATTAATTCATTATGTTAGACTTTTCCTGTTCAAATTTCTGTGTGGTTTCTCTGTCTTGATTGAACCTACACTAACACACTTCTTTATTCAAAGAACACTTCCTTTCCATTTTAGCAAATGAGTATCAAGGTTAGACCATGTACTATGTCATCACACAAACTTCTCTGCCTCCTAAATCATGAGTTCAAACATTATATTTACAAAACAACCAACCATCTTTCCAACTTACTTTGGTTACTCCCACTATAATTCACTGACCTCATAGAATCTCCAAATCATTGTTTTCCGAAGTAATTGTACAAATTTACATTCCCACAAGTATGGTATAATTTCTCATTACAACATATCATAGATAACACTTGCTATTTCAGACTTCTTAATTTGTATTACTTTTCAGACGTAAATTTATATTTCCATAATTACTAATAAGGTTGACCATTTTAGTAAGTTTACTGGCCATAGAGATTTGCTCCTCTGGGAAACACTTGCTCATTTCTATTGCCCGTTTTTCTATTGCATCATCTCTGTTACTGTTTTGTAAACGTTTGTTATACATTATGAACACTAAACCTATGTCACTTATGTGTGTTTTCAAATATCTTCTTATACTCTTATTTTCCATTCTATGGTATATTTTAAGAAATAAAACGTCTTAATTTTCTTTAAAAAAAAAAAAGAGACTTTATCTCAGCCTCATGTACAAGAAATCCAAAATTTGGCAGTCCAAAATTAGCTTCAAGGTGATCAGAGACACAGGATTCTACTCTCCTGCTACTTAGCTTCTCACCTCGAAATCAGAATGACTGCCTATGTGAACTTAAACTAGACATTTGTTTCTTAGATATCACTCCAATGTCACCAACAATGAAAAATATGATAAATGGGTATTTAAAAAATTGTGCTTCAAAGGATACCACCAAGTGAACACCAGGTGTGGTTATGTACACCTATAACCCTACCATTTGAGGGGCTGAGGAAGGAGGATCACTTGGGGTCAGAAGTTTGAGACTTGCCTGGACAACATAGTGATACTGTGTCTCAAAAAAAAACCAAAAAACGATGGTCTTGAGGTGTGGTTCAAGCGGTAGATACAACACCTGCTTAGCAAGCACAAAGCCTGAGTTCAAACCCTAGTGCTGGAGGTACTTTACAAAAAAAGGAAAGATAAAAAGAACAGCCAGGCACCCATGGCTCATGCTTATAATCCTTGCTACTTGGGAAGCTGAGGTAGGGAGGATAGCCACTCAAGGCCTTCTTGAAAACT